AAAGACTCTGCAACCGTCGTCCGGATAAAAGCCGGTATGGCTCAATGGGTCGCGGAGGCACACGAACCGTCAAAGCACGGTAAGGTCCAGTCTTATCCTAGCGCTACTCTGCGATTAGCAAGGAGGTCCACATCAATGTCCTCTATAAGAACTCCGCTGCAGTGGACTAATTTGCGTTAGTCCACTAGATTCATGCGAAAACCAGTCGCGTTCCAAATTGATTTATTCACGCAGCTAGTGGCGTTACTGAAAACCCAGTTCTGGACACCGAGGTCTGTCTGAGTGACCTCTCAGTTATTTGTTCACCTAGAGTGTAATACGCACATGACGACCTAAAACTGCAGTCCATAGCCCACATCTTTAAAGCAGACATTGTTTCCCGAATGGTAATGATATACTCTACGAATTGCAGATATTGCAGGAATGTCTGGTCGGCATCTCCAAGCACTCACACCGCTCCTATTACATCACCTCTTGTCAAGTTCTCTTTAAATTAAAGGTAACAAAGGTATGATGGAGGACACAGAGTAAGATACCGAAATCATGGTATTGTTAGTTGTAACATCTTCCCACTATATTCGCAAGAAATATGCCTTTGGGTTTCAACTTCTTGACGTCATCAGACGTTCGTTCGGTCAGATGACAAAAATAAAACGAATGCCTTGCAGAAAATCTACTGAAACAAATCTGATTCCGTGATGACTTAATGCACCTTGGGGCACGAGTTAAGCCCTCGTGGGTTAAGCATCTTTCTTCTGGCCCACTGTCGATGACCAGGGAATGTAGGCTACATGCAGCATGTTTTTAGGGCCTTGAGGAAATGTTTCGTATTTGCTTCACCATGAACTGTAGCGGTTCGCAGTGAAAACTTTTGAGACCACACAGATGTCGACTCCTTTCGAGGAGCTCACTTTTAACCGGTGTAATTAACTAACCTATGCCTCGAGACTTTTTGGGCGACACTTTGGTATGTTTTATTCCGTCGCAAATTCGTAATAGCTGTACTGGATAAAACTGAGCATTCTTGTGAGTTTTTTTAGAACTTTCCCTCAGATAATCAAAGTGATTGCAAGCAATTTCATAAGGTTTGCGCGAATCGTACTAGCCCAAAACTGTACCAATACGTTACTGACTCTCTCTCTCTCCGCTTGTCTCAGACTTGTTGAGAGAATCAATTTATGTTAAAACTTATTCCTCCGAGAAACACAATTCGATACACAAAAAGTTTAGATTGTCACTTTGCCGTTTTTACTGTGAGATCTCTTAGGCGACTGCCGCATTGAACTCATTTGCTACCTACTTCGGGCCAACGAGCCACCCAACGGAATCTCTCGTCTACGATTTTCTGCAATCGAATGCGCAAAAACGAATAAAAAGATGATGGTCTCTCCAAAATTTTTCAGGAAACTTATAAGCGACACGTTGCATCATGACCATTGGTGACTTCATTTGTAGACCGTCAGGAGATGCAAAAGATCTCTGGCATATGTTGGGGATGAATTGTGCGTCATTCGCTACCAGTTCAGCCAACAGCCAATTCAAAAAGGCCTTAAAACTTCGGTGCGCTTTCCTGTGTTTCCTCTATTCGAAAGTGTTGACTGGCACGCCGTAGTTGATACAGAAGCTGATATGGTCGTTGGCTTGTTCCCTGAGATGGGCAATTTGATTGCAAACCAGTCGGTGAGTTGTCTAGTCTAGTCTACTCAACGCACAGCCACTAACCCACCGCTACGTACTACTACGCTCCCCAGTAACGCACTGATGATGTCACCTCGATTGATGACGAAACGTTTGCAATCAAACTGTCCAGCTCATCGAACAAGCCAACGACCATCTACGCTACCTGAGCTAACGGCCATCTCGCTACCTGAGCTACTAATATTTTCCTCTATAGAGAAGCTGATGTAGGAACTAAAAATGTCTGCTGATGATGGCGATGATGTATGTACATAAAACGCGCTAAGTGAGCCGTTGTCTTTTCATACAGCCATTCCCTCATCGTCACCAGAGAACTGTCCCTTAACTGGCTCAAACTACAACACTGACGTTGGAGCGCTCTAACGTCTGTTTATTCTATGCTTCTTCGTTTTTCAGAGCAACACTACTCTCTCGAATCAACCAATGCCTACTACTGAATGACGAGTACCAGAATGCGTTCCATCATGTCAGAGATAACCTGAAGTTGAATCCTTCTGGCCGGCAATTTGATTTTAGGTGAGTCTGAGATGTTCTCCTTTTCACTTCAACCTAAAGTTGTATGAGACAACCATGCTTAAACCCGTATTTATCTGTTTCTCCCATCATCTAGTGAAAACTACATTTTCGGGAAATTCGACACGTACTGCAATCGGCTGAGAAAACTCGTGCGACTGTTGGATCTTATGGATAAGTTTGCAGTCTTGAATGATTTGAAAGTCGAGGGGATCGAGACTATTGTGCTCCGATACAAATCACTCTGTGAAAATATGAACAAGAAGAGTTTCGATGGAGTGGACCAAAATCGTAGAGATGTGAGTATATACTTTGGCAACTGATGACGAGAACCGTCTACCAAGCGTAACCGTTTGTATCGATGCATTATCGTTTGACCTACTATTTACACCCCGGTAAGGCAACTGTTTTCGTCCCGCTCCTGTTACCCTAGGGTTCTCCAGTATCCGTCCCTTAAACGACCGAACCTCTAACACAACGGTTCTTCATATGGACTGAGTGCACCATTTTTAGTGCGAGATGGGTCAGGTAGGGTTAGGAGGTGGTTACTATTAAAGGCTCGCCTGGAAGTCTTCTAAACTCAAGTGGAAGTGATAGCAGTGTGCAAATGAAAAAACAACCGAGTGCGAGCTTCTTTATGGCTCCGGCTAGCCCGAGTCTGTCGTTAACTTTCTCTCTGACAGACCCATCAAATCTTTGTTATGATATCAAAGTGAACGCTCTTCTCTCAGGGACGCCCAAAAGAACCACAAACGAGGAGTGGTGCCAATATACAACCTGAATTCTTTTAACGCAGGGCGGCAGAACGCGACAATGTGCATTTACAATCTCATCAGACTTTGCATAATGCATGCCAATTTTAGCTGGTATTTCCTAGATGCATTCAGTCAGAGTTGGACGGAGGTTTAGTTAGTGAGTCCTCAACTCCAGAAGGCCACAGCAGAGAGTGAATTATTCAACTTAACAAACTCACAGCCTAAATTCCACTGTCATAGCAACGAACATTTTTCGCAGCAGCTCCTTGGAGAAGGCTAGTCTCAATTCAACTTACAAACTCAGCCTAAATTCCACTGTCATAGCAACGAAAAATTTTTGCAGCAGCTCCTTGGAGAAGGCTAGTCTCAAACAGAAGGTGAAACCTAACTTCTTTCTGAATTTTCCACGTACGATCAACAAAAATCAGCAAGTCAACCAAGGATTGGAGAAAAACTGAGCTGAAGCTAATTTGGTAGGATTTGTCACTCTGTGGCAACGAAGGCTGATGCGTAATCGATGTTAGTGCATCTAGCCACTAAGTTGTTTCTATCTAATGTCCCTTGAGAACGTCCCTTTCAATCTGTTTCAAGTACATTTATGAAATAAACCCTTCTTCTGTATTCAGCCGTTTAGTTAACTACCTACCTATGCGTAATTTCGTTTTCCATTTCATCTTATGGTTCCGTATGCTGGAAAGCTGGAAGGCGCCGTAATGCCTCACTAGGAATCCTCGGAGTGTACATAATATGAATTCCGAGGTTGCTCAAGCCCGTAAACCTAAACCTCTTGGTAGACTCATTGTCTTTCGGGTCTTGATGGTGAAGTATTCGCAGAACCTACTGGCTGTCTGCGACTATCCTAGTGCCAACCATCCGGAATCATTCAACATCTGGACATAACGTATTTTCTTCAAAAGCCCAGTAAAATAAACAGTGATATCCATTTTAATAGCACCATCTTTCGGGTCGCACTCCACGCATAAGTGAGGTTTAAAGAGGAAATGCCATACATAAGCAAACGCTGGACCAAGATTCAAATTTAGCATAGATAATAAAGGACACTACAGTTAGAGGCCCTTATCTGAAACTAGTATCTTTCTTCGTAGGTTTTCATGGACTTACGTCCAGAAACCAGAGAGTTACCGATGCAGTTACCCCAAGCCTTTTGGACATAATATGGTCTCTACACATACTAAGCAAACACCATATACGTTCACAAACCAGAGAGTTACCAATGCAGTTACCCTTAGCCCGTTTGACATAATATAGTCCATACGCATACTAAGCAAACAGTACGACCTCACCTGAAGGTCACTGAATTTTAAGGAGTTTGACGGTGATACCATTAGTGTTCTGTTCAGTGACAGATCTCTCATATAGCCTAGATATCCTTCCGAAAATTTCCCGGCTTGAACATCCATAAATTCACCGACTTGAACAACCGTGGAAGGTGCTCTATTGAGGAGGTCCCAGCCCTTTAACACAAAAACTGTGTTGAGTGTGCTGCTGAAAAAGTGACTGCGCTTCGTGTGCATTGTAAGAGATCCGTATAACTCGGCTCCAGTCGCTGTCTTCAGTGTCTTATCATGTCAGTGAATACCACTGCCTCAGTATTGTTTTGAGGGCATTTCGCTCTTACTAGCTAGTTGATGGTGGCTGTGAAGTCCATGCATTCTGTTTCATTTTTTAACTCCTCGGCTTCCTCCTGCAGAAAAGCACGAGAATTTGCGATGTTCCCTGCATGGGCACGAGGAAACGTCGTCGTATTTATCTACTTTGTCTTATTTGGGGGGACTATTTCAGGTCGTCGTATTTATCTACTTTGTCTTATTTCAAACATTTTCTCATTGTGCTGAACGGCCTTATTGTGAGGTGTGATTTCATTCTCCCTAGGTCAGCTGAGGTGCAATACTGTGTATCGACGGACACTTGTTCTTGTTCCTACACAAGAGGAAGTTTCTGATCCCTCCCGTAGATCTAGGGAGTGAAGTGCCTCGTGGACTAGTTGTATGCTTCCCAATGACTTGCCAACACCGAGTCCACAGAGAAAGAGGGGACGAGACATGAGCGAAACACTGTCCTGTTCTTTGCAACCCCAGCTAATGACATCCAAAATAGTTGACTTCGGATACAGGATTGTTGCAAAAACGAGCAACCCGTTTAGAGAAATCGTCAACTTACAAGGCACTGTCCACTGATTTCTACGAACGGCACAGAGGACTATCTTTCTACTCCCTGGGAATTACGTCAAAAGTTAACAGTTGCACTCAGCATTAAATTCTGGCCCGCTGTCATCACCTGTCAAACAGATGACAAGAATTAACAGAAATGACTGTAGCGTGCGCCCCTACTACGAGACAAACTTACGATTAGGCTGTTCTTGTGGTGAAAGCATGTCTGATCAAGTATTGGAAACAGTACATCAATTGTTCCACCTGTTACCAAACTAATACCTGCGTTGGCTGACTCTAACTCCATACAGGTCGTTGATATTGTTCACGTTGATGATTCAGACGCGTGCGCTGGTGTAGTACCTGTAACATGCTTCCATGCATGTCAGTTGTCCAAGGTCAAAATCCCTGCACGGCTAAGGATATACCCACCTGATGGGTTTAAATAAATTCGAACCTCGAGTCTGATGCTTCTCTGTCCTGGTATGGACACACTGAAATAATTTTACCAGAACAAAATAGGACTGTTTGAACGAGATTGATGTGAACACAAACAGCTGGAATCGCTGATGAACTGCCGAAAACTTGACCATTGGTCGGTGCTATCTTTGTTAGAATCACTGCTCATATAGATTTAACTATTGCACATACGGGGCTCTTCTTCAGAAACAGTTTATCAAGTGGCTAAATTTGTATGTTCTTAGATCATCTTAAACGCCGGGACTGTCATATTTCACGACAGTTGTCTTCGATGTCACCCAGCAAAATCCCGTAGCACAATACAAACTGTTTTTACTTGTCCTTTCCTGTTCAAAAACTTCTAATGTTAATGCACATGTCACAGATCCCTTAAAGCTGATCATTCACATCTCATTTTCGCGGTGTAGTTTGAAAAGGAGCTTGACGGTTTCAAAGGACAGTTTGACTTGATCGAACAACAGCTGAAGGAGTTTTTAGATCAGTGGTTCTCTAAACCCTTCTCGGTAAGTATTACTCATATTCAATTGTACACATTCCACAGCACCATTTTGTGGTAAGATTAATCAGGCACACCGATCCCTACCCTCGAGGAGGAAACAACATTAAAAGGCAATAACCCTCACCTTAACGGAATACGGATGACTGAGTTATAGCCAGTTCCATAATTTCTGAAAGAGAAACTCAGTTGACTTCAGGTATTCGCAACCGCTTGGTCGGATAATGGTGGAATATTTCATGCTTACTCACGTTGTCGTCATCTGAGTCAGTCAGAACGAGAACACTTTGAAGCATCCAATCCAACTCGACCAGGATCTGGGAAATAAGGCAACAAAGAGTGATAAAGCTAAGATAAAGCTACTGTCTAAGCTGTGATCAAAAGTTTAGAACTATTTTTTAAAATTGAGTTACTCTAGCTTTGTTTTCAGTTTTATAGTCCACAATCTATGTAAAAGTAAATAAATATGTTGACGTGACATGTGCTATTAGGTGTTATATTTAACCTACGATAAACTTAGGCAAAATACTAATAGTGTGGGGAGACCTGGTGATTTGTATTTGAGGGTTCATCTTGTAAGTGATGCCAGTCTATGCTGAAAAGCCGAGAGGCACTGTACAGCTGTTTCATCCTTATTGGGAAACCTCAGCATTCTGCAACCGGTGAACTACCGGTTATGGGTTTAAACACCTAAGTGTTCAGCCACGAGCGGTTGATCAGTGTGATCAACTCGCACTTAGGCAAGATATGGCGCCGCTCATCCTTCAGTTAGAGGTACCATATAACATGGTACCATGTTGACTGGCTCCTCGAGTGACGATTTCTCATATGGAATTTTCACTCATCTTGTGAAACTATTCTTCCTTTGAGCTGCTTATGGATCGATTAAAATGCATCTGTTTATGGGGTACCCACGTTATAGTCGATGGGATAATCTTATCAGGAAGGTCACATTCCTGAGAGCAACCACTGAGTGCCCGGACTCTACTGAGGCTCTCAGCTGCGCTAGATATTGACCAGACAGACAACGCCCCCGCAATACGCAGCGCGTCACATCCTCGTACCAAGGCCAGACCGCATGCGTTAGCATTGGACCGAGTTCAGACCGCGTACCTCCAATAAATAGCTTGAAACCGTTGCACTTTTGCACCTGTACACACTCAATCTCCCGCGCTCGCCTGTTCGGAACATGGTTGTTGTGTTCTCTTCTGTGAATCTTTTCTCCGGCATTGAGCACTGGAGCGGACCAGGAGCCAGATACAGCAGATTGACGAAGCAGAAGATATAACAAATCTGATCAGCAAGCTATTGATATCGTCTCGTCTAAATAAACAAAACGCGTTTCCTTCCTGCTGCGGCAGCTCAGCTCCCCGACAAGCTTGTGGGGGAAAACTTTTGTACCAAACTTCTGGTCATCTGAAAGATTGTTTGCTTAGGGATTCCTATCTGGAAAATAAGACTCTGTGTTCGGAGATCATAGTTCACATGGTTCTGAATAGGTCTCATAGAGTTTCAGCCATTTTAATGTGCAAATAATACTGGCCTAGAATGTCCACATCCCTTCTCTATCCTCCGTTATCCTCCCTCCTCTCACTTGGCGCGGACTCACCAGGATACTTGCGACGGGGCGGGAGGAGGACTGTTCAAACGAGTGTGATGTGAACGCGAACATACAAATTTGTTGCATGTTGCTGGTCGTTGGCTTGTTCGCTGAGCTGGGCAGTTTGATTGCAAACGTTTCATCACCAATCGAGGTGACATCATCAGTGCGTTATTGTGAGGCGTAGTAGTGCGTAGCGGTGGGTTGGTGGTTGTGCATGTTGCATGTTGGTAAAGAAGATGCACTCTGAATTTCCTGTGCAAAGTGATATATGGACGTCTTAGAATCACTTATTTTCTCTGCCGAAATTTCGACACGGGCAAAAAAGCACCCAACTGCGCTGATGCCTACAGATTATATTTCGGAGTGGAATACCAGGATGGCAGGCAGCGCTGTCCATAAATTACCGTGAAGCCTAACGCAGGCCTTCGTCATCTTCCCGATACAAGTAAATAAGATGAAGTAAGAAGTCCATGCTGAGTAGGAAATATCTACAATTACCGCCGCAGTATCCGTTAATTAAAATGGATTTGACCTATGCAAACAAACTTTGAAATGGATTACACGTTGAACCAAAATAATTGCTTCGGTTTATGGATAGACACTTACATGAGCTAACTGGTCAATGAACGATATTGCACTTTACAAGCTGTTTCCATGCTTTTCTTGAAGTTTACGGGTTTTGCTGTAAACATTGCCACAAACGCTCCTTGAACTAAAGGTGGGACCACTCGCATATGAAGATAGAGCTTCTCTAGTCACAGCTCAAGATTTGTTTTAGTGTGGTTACCTACTTAAAATATAGTCAACTTCTACTGATATATAGACGTCACTTCCTGTGTATCTACGAACAGTCCATTTTGGCTGGACTGTCTAAATCCGGTTGATCGTGAGGTAGATTTTTAAGGTACTGAATAATATTTATGCTTGAAAAGAATACGGAAGGAGTTTGGCAGGGATGTATGTAACAACCGAACCGGTGTGACTGTATTCAGGAAGACTACACACATTGTCGGGACTAAGACGAGCCTTAAACCTCGTGATGGAATCCTTATCCCATTTTCAGGTTGCCTTAGAAGACCATCACCTCATCTACTTACGTTGAAGCCGGCTCTCTGCAACCTCCTATTTATTTCTTCATTGGGGCTTCACAGACTTCAGGGCCTTAGCAATCTACTTTTATGGATTTTCGTCACCAAACACAACGTGACAAGAACTGGCAAGGGGGTTATTCAATCCCAGAAATTACTTGGGAGAGTTTCATCTTAACTTCCGTGCATGCTACTCATCTTAACTTTCATCTTAACTTCCGTGCATGCTACTCAAAAAAAGCGTGTACAAATTGGTCGTAACCCATGAAAATTTTGGGACGTACAGTATCCGTCTCAAACAGACTGGAATCAGTGTCTTGAAAGTGGCTAAGCTTGCAAAGCCGGTAGGGTAAATAAAGTGTCTCGGCTGGGATGTGGTCTAATTAAGTACACGCCACAGATGATGTACTCGATTGGTAAGCTTACCCGAGTCCTCTCAGTCGTTAACGTAAACATCGTTCTGCATTTCTAAGGTGTCGAGTTTGGTGAGGATGGGTAGAATTGCATGTTCGTCGTGTGAGAAGCTGAGCACCCAGTATTACACGCCTTTTCGTTGAATACGCTAACCTGTTCAAAGAGAGGTCCACCAAAACATTTTTTTGGAATCGTTGCCCCTTGAATTTCGGCCTTTTCAAAGAGGAAATGACTTTTGGCCACTCTCTTTAGATGATCACGCTAGAAAGAGACAAGCGTATCAGAAGTACAGGGTAGTTAGTTTAGTAGAGATGCTTTTTTGGATACTGCTACACCCTTCGCTGTTGTGGTGAATATCCAGCCGGCAAACCGGATCAAACCGTACATGACATAGCATGAAGGGTGAGAGGAAAAAAGAAGGCAACCAACAGTCCGTGCTGATCAATGTCATCTGCTAAGGGCTGGTAAGTTGACGGTTTTCACAAAGATGAGCACACTCTGACCATAGGAGAAGTGTGCAAAGCCAGCTGTTTCAGATAATCATTGATAAATTCGTAACAGCAACAGAGTGACGGCCAGTCCGCATCAATCTTCCCATGATACTTATTGGGAGTATATCCCTCTTCAAAAGGAAGAAAACTAACAGCCAAAGGAGGAATCCTCCAGGACACACAATCCAGAGGTCTGGTACCTCGGCGTGAAACACTCCGGGGAACTACAGCTCGAAATCAGAAATGGACAACCAGTATTCCAAGTCCTAACCAAGTTAAATAAAGTCTCATACCATGAAGTGACCTTAAGCTTCTTTCTAAGTTTCTACCACAATAATGTTTCTAGCGAACACCTACGGGACGACTGAATCACTGGTCCATTATATGAAACTATAGGTTCTAAATCCTGGAATTCTGAATTAAATTTATAACAGCAGAGAACCAAAAAACCCGCAAGATTGCAAAAGCGATGTATCCTAATGAAGAATACCTCTTTATACTTTGTTCATTTCGTTAAGTTTCCTAAAAGAATTAACATCGGTTTCCGGCCTGTGGTGTGCAAGTTTGAGACATGCTGGAACAAAGCACAGTGTAGAAACGTTTGAAACACCCAGGAAGACCGCTTCGGGAAAACTCGGAATTAAATGGAGGGATAGCTCTTAATTCGGTTTGTTACATTTCTGGCGATACAGAGTTAGACACATCTACCCCAGACTTCAAAACTCACAACTGTTGGCTGGCGATAGACAGGGTGGACTGCGCCCAGTTGTCTTCAAAGTGATTCCATTCTGTTCGTTGGCACACACTTTTGATATAATCACGAATAAACACAGATTCCTCTCTCTTTCTCTTCAGTTTGTGGTGGGAAATCTGGTACCTCTGACTACCAAGTGCATATGCTTCACAGAAAGATTCGTAGGAGAAATTTACGGATATCCAAGATATTTGGAAGGGTCCACTTTGGTGAGACTGAAGTCTACATTTTTGCTCCTTAGGTTAGGAGCAGCGATCGGCCTTTCATAAAAGTTGCTCTAAAAATGAGTAGAAAGAAGCAGCGACAGTCTACTTGCATCTGTTTTATTGTTCTCTGCGTTTATCTCTGATAAGGAATAGTATAATCGATTTTGTGAACCTTTTCAGCCAACATTAGTCAACCGACTTATGCCTCCAGTATCTTACTGTATATTACGCGCGACGCAACAGCGAGCTTGAAGTACATAGCCGTTCCGATAATTTTCGATCCATGGTTTTATAGTCAACTTAGAACTAATCACAGTGCTGATCAGTCGCTCGTGGCCAAACGGTGTATTTTTTAACCATTAGTCAGGGGGGTACAAGTTCCAGTCGCCTTGGAGATTCATGAGACGTGCAGTGTAGGTAATCCCCAATAAGGATGAAACTACTGTATAGTGCTCCTCAGTTTTCGGTACAGAGTGATTTTACTTGCGGGGCAAAATATCGGCTGAAATTGACAAATTCATTCAGGCTATCAACAACCAATAGTAGCCATTTTTATCGTGCCTTTGTATTTCAGCTGAAATTAATGGGTAAACGCTAACTCCCAGAGAGTGGATTAGGTCTCCTAACACCTAAATCTCGTTTTCTCTCAATCCATCTAACTGTTCAACAGGTCGAACGTCAGCTTGCCATGTTGGCGAAATTTCACAAACTTGATTTTTGTCACTTGGGCCTCCCGGAGAAGTATATGTTGGTGCTGGACAACTATATGGCCGAACTGAATGCCATCCGACATTTGTACGAGCAGCAAAAGGTTGATCCACCTATTGCGCGCAATATGACTCCGATAGCTGGAAAAATATATTGGGCACGGCATCTTTACACTCAGATTGATGTACCAATGCAACAGCTCAAAGAACACAGTTCAGAAATACTCTTGGTAAGTCATCAGTCTCAGTTCATTATTTCACTGGTAGCCAAAGCAGTGGAACTCGTCAAGGGATGTCGCATTTTTGCTTATGAGTGAGAATATTTTTTCAAGTAATCTGGACAGTGATTTCATATACATATATATATACATATAAAGCAATTGTAACCAGTTCTTACTATTGTCTTCATGAACACAAGTCAAATTATTCTGGAGGCAAAGTAGATTATTGACATGGGCGTATAATACTAACCTGTCCGTATATAGCTGGGTAATTGGCGAAGTGTTCTACGCTCGTTGTGTGCCGCTTCTTCAAGTTCCTAACACTGTATGTCCCCCAGTGACAATGTAAACAGAGGGCATTCGTAAATCCCTCAAGCCAATGCTATCGGTCGATACGGGATTAATAACAGTGTTGTGTGTCTAAACGTCACACCCAGACACAGTACGTAGTACAGCTACACACGTTCTCATTTTCAAGCAAATTCTTATCCCGACACCCATATCTCTGCTTCGTTTCCTGTTCTGATCTGCAAGTCACCAAATTTGGAAGTTTGTCCCGAGATCTTTTACTACAACACGCCATATGTGTTTTTAATCTTTGGTAAACCATTTTTTTATTAAATTCATTGAAAGTTCGTAGATGAAGTTACGTGAAATGTGTGTGGCGGAAGATTTACTGGTGTTGAATCACGATGGTCAGCCGCAAATGGCTAATTGGTTCCGTTCAAGCTCCTCTCCGAATGTCTGTACGTCCAAATACTCTTGGCGATTCGCCAACCACCGGATCCGGTCATTCCAGAAAATTGCAAAGCAGTCACACAGATATCTTGCCTTGACACTAAAGCCTAATCTCATTTTCAGAATAGAATATAGAGACATATCACTTCCGGAGTAGTGAGCTCAAGAAAACTGGGATGTCGCAATAATGGAATTTCGACGCAAAAATCTGTTGCAGATCAAGCAAACGCCGTTAAAAGTTCGTTTAGCAGGGTCACATCATTTGCCAAAAATCTATACTGGGAAAGAGATCTGACCACATTTGGCCGCATTTTGAAGCCAGCTGTTGATTTTTTTTCTTGACGACAGCAAGCAGTTGGCAGAATGTAGCTGCTAACTAAGAGCAAGAAAGCTCTCGTTTTAATAGTAAATATATGAATGTTGGGTCCCAACAGATACTTCAGTGTTACTGCAGTGAGACTGATTTGTGCGGAACATTCGAACAGGCCAGGTGTCTTAACCCCAAACGGCGAACTGTAAATTGATTAATTTGTCCTCGATTGTAAAGCTAAATTGTCAATTGTAGCGCTGTCTGAGCGGATGGAAAAATACGGTGCCATCTGAGTCTAAGTAGCGGAGTATGTCTAAAGCAAACAACCAGACTAACTGTTCTCATCATTTATTCATGCTGCACTTCTCTCAATGGTTTGTTTTGAGCATATATATATATATATAAACAACAGAAAAGCGTTTTTCCATAAACCGAAAAATGCCGCAAAAGGTGCATACTGCAACCACTGGCACTTAATCCAAACCATTCCATGTCATTGTCTTCAAGGCAATATACAAAATCTTCCAGGATTAGTCTCCGTAGCACGTGATCAGCAGCCGTATACACACCAACACATATCACCGGTTAGCCCCGTATGCGATAGCGCTAATGAGGAGAGAACATTTGAAATTAGCCAATAAACTTGCCTCATTAATCAAAAAGTGTCACCTTGATTTGTCCAGTTTCGTCTGCCGTCTTCTCATTTTCAGCTGACTGTTCTTCCCCTTTACGTGCTCAGTCCAGCAATTTTCATTTGTTGAAACCCTTTTACAATCATGCAGACGAATTAATGGCGTCCGACATTATTGACTTTGAAAAAATCTCCACGCTACTATTTGCTCCTTCTCTGGAAGCAATCTGACGAGCAGTCTTTATTCCCTGAACTTAGAGAGTACAATTCCTAGAATACCGACCTGATATCGAAGCAGTTTCTGTGATTTTCTTGTGAACCTATTCTACATTTCAGACGCCAGAAGGCCAAAAGTGTGTGAGGCAGTTTAACAGAATTGCGAGTGCACTTGTGGAGTTCGAAGTTCTTTACCACCATCACTGGTGCAACTCGGTCGAACAACTACACACTGGACTCTCATCCTCATTGTTAACCAGAGACCCCGACTGCAGCAGCACGCTGTTTGTAAATTTCGATATGGGTGTTTTGGAATCGATTTGTGAGGCGAGATACATTCAGGCTCTGGGTCTAACCATTCCACGTGCTGCGGAACGACTGCTCATGCAAGAACATGAAATCAAGCAACGTTACTCCGTGTAAGTCCTTGTTTCTCTGTCACACATATGTTAACCAGATATGTTTCTATAGGTCCAGTGTACACTATTTTCCAAAGGCTCACTTAGGCCAAATCCGGCACTTTCGTTCTTGATTATGTAGATGCAAGCCCTCAAAGGACTTCATACGAAGCAGTAGGTGGGACGTCAATCTGTTTGCAGTCCACATCATCGTCGTCTTCGTCACACCAATACGCCCTTACTAAGGATTAAATGTAGTACAACCATACATTCTCATCTACGCGCCTTTCAGTGTCATTCATTCGCCTTCACCACTTTAAACAACTTACGTCATCATGACCAATCAGACGACTAGCGTTTAAGCCTCAAAGTAAGCAGAGATGAAACATCTTCCTCCTTCTTTTCATAAAGCAAACTACTTATAAGGTTGCCGAATACCCCTCGATATCTCGATATTGCACCAACTGAAAAATGAGGCAACTTTTGTCTAGCAGCTGAAGAGTATAATAAACGATAGATTAATCTGGGACTGCAAATGAGTGTATTTCAAATTCCTCCGTCTTTGTTTGCTGCATGAATAACCGACATTTGCCACACTGGTGACCTAAGCCGACTTACGAAAACGCCGTATATCGTCAACGTCTCACTGAACGTAGGTACATCTTTCTGTGATGACATTGGACGACTAGACCGATGGAGTACCTTGCTCACGTGACGAAATACACCCGTTTGATTACTAATCTTTCAGCCCATCCTGACTAACACCACACACCTTTAGACTCACTGAGGTCAGAGGAAGTATCCAAATAGTCATGGGCATGAGAGTGGGCTTCTGTCGAATTATTCATCTGTGGTTGGTTAGTCACTGAGTTACATCAGCAAAATTAGGGATCTAATGCGCCTAATATACTGGCAAGTGAATACAGCTTTTGGTTAGACTCAAGACGGTGGCAGACGAAGTTCACTGCTGCAATAAACAGCAGAAGAAGTTTGGTGATGACGATCCTTCCACCATTAGGCCACACACTGAGTAAAATGGGAAATATAACGTGATATATCCGTTTTCGGTGACGGATGGCGAATATCAAAGGAACAGCATTTTTAATTAACCAGAGATAATAAGGAAATCCATTTACACAAGAGGCGAGAATGACGGTTAAAAATCGGTGTCATAGATACCTTGATGAAATTGTTGGAACCTGGGTACTATGTACTGCTTTCCCAATTCCTTATGTATTCTGGTTTGATTTCTTGAGCACTGGTTCACTGAAACTTGTGTAGCCGCTGAATCATTAATTCTTGGCTAGCGCACTCGGTGACTATAGGCCAATTTTAGGAACAAATCGAGAACCTACGCAGATAATCGCTTATTAGTGTTCTCATGTGGTGGTGGATGTGCTCCACGCCACACGGTGTCGGCAGGATAACCGACCGCCATAGTACCATAGATGTTAAAGTGCAGTTATGTAGTCCGACCAGAAAGGTCACGGGTAAATGGATTAGTCGACTGGAAGATGTGATGGACATACTTTGGTCTGCTTTTAAGGCTCGCTAGTTTCTAATCCAGTATGCCGACTGACGCGACAGACACGGTGAAACTGACATGCCACTTTCGACAAATACACCTATTTCCATATCCTTTTTGTTTTCAGGGGAGTCCCAGCTGAGACTCGGTTGAACCTCTCATAACATTCATCAACTGAATGTACTACACAAAGACCAACTCATGATTCAGTTGATATGATTTCCGAGGTCTTGCTCTATATTTTAATACAGGAAACTATTCACATTCAGTTGAAGAATATCATAAACGAGAGATTCAGGTGGGTTTTAGATGTGTCTCCCGTGAAGACCGAATTGGTATGCACATGGGTGTTTTTGTCGAATTTCGTGCATTTTGGGCTTTAGCAGAACATAAGGTTGATGGGAACGGGTGCACTGCACCTACATGATGAGCCCCAAGAAGAGCGAAACCGATCGTGGGCTTCCAAAAACTTCTCAGCAACCTTGAAAGTGGTATCCTTTATGACAAGCGAGTTGTTCTGAGCTGACAGATGGATACAAGAGAATATGGCAACCAACCAAATAAAGGAATATAGTATGTAAATAACATGAGCAGTGGGCCTATAGTCATGTAGCGGGAGGCGATAAACGAAGCGAGTTAGTATACGGCTTAGCTGGCGCAATAGATGCTGAGTTACAGCCGGTCTGGCGTGGCAAGTTCGAGGAAGCACCCTCAGTGAGTTACTGACCAGATATATGTTCAAACGGTCGTACGAGCATACCAGTGGCGAGCAGCCTGATTACCTTTTGTTTACAAACAGGGATTTGGCATCTAAGACATGAACTGGCTGGCTGACGGACGACTGTTTGTATGATGAGTTGACCGAAACTCTGCAAATATTCATCAGAATTAATCAATGCAAACGTGCATGGTATATACGAACATCCCAGTGGCTCTACAGATGCAATCATAGTGAGTAAGACTCAACGGCTAGTAAGGTAAGCAAAACAACTGAACAGTATTCTGCCATCACACTATACTAACATAGGGCATTCGTTTCAAAGAGTGAAGCCTTCAATGGGCAGTACGGCAGCGCTTGATAGCCAGGACCACTATCAGACTATTCTACTACCAATCATTAATGAGTAGCTGGATGTAAATTACGGTTGCAACTAAGATCCATGGCCCCTAAAACTCATCGCTTAGAACTGCTTCGACATGCGATAGAAATCAATCGCTGTTGCAGTTAGCTTCATTTTGGTGATGACATTGATAAGCGCCTTCTGTCTGTGTCGGAACGGCAATGCTTTTTTTCGGGCGAGCACGTAGAAACACTTCACCCACTGGTGCACGGATTGCTAGTGTGAACGTATAGATACTTTGAAATCAAAATACACCTAGTAGTAAACTGTAGCATCCTGACAAACGTACATGCCCTAAAAGCCTTATCTATTCGTTGCGGTGGATTTATGCTTAAGATATGTTTAAAGAAGTGAAAAAGTCGGTCATTTAACCATAGTTGTGTCCTTCCGCCTTAATCGCAGTTAAACAAATGAACCGAAAATTCTCTTCTCAAATTGACTTGACCGAAATCTACTTCAAAGGCTAGTCCGGAGTCCGAGCTGCAGCATGTTCCCTACGGGCTCCTATACTTTGGTGGGAAAGACAAGGGACCAGTCAAAACTGGTCAACTTTAAGAGCTGGTAGCACGTAAGGATGGCCTCGTCCGATTTGACCAGCACTTTCCTACACACGTGCTTGCTCATCTTGCTTGTGACGAAGCTTATCTAAAATTCTTTGATAATGTATTCCTGCGTCACAGTGTCAGGCTGTTGGACTTAATCAATCAACCTCTCCAATTATCTCCATTGTCATTCCGGAAGCTATTGGGGTCGTGCGATTATTTTTTTGGTGTTAGTGGGCTGTTAGTCACGCCATTTACGCTATTCGGACAAACCGACTAAGGTAAACCATGCATGCTCAGTATCTCCGTTTTGTCCAGACCGACTACACGCTTGCCACAGATGCAGATCCACACTTGCCGCTGTGAGTACGGATCAACAGGATGTCGATTAGTAGCTACTTGGTCTGTCACACAATTTAAGCAGCATCACTTGACCCAGTGAGCACGTGATCTCTTGTTTTTCCCGGCTTATGATGACCACCTGGTAAACATTCCTTATGCATGGCCGACGTCTGAGTACCATTCTCTTCAGCCGCAATGACATAGTGTGGGTCGATAGGTGTGCTATGCTGCCATGTTTTAGTTTTCGGTCCCACTAGATTCCTTATCGTAATGCGAGTCTTTTGTGAACCACGCTAAGAAAGAAAGCATTTGAAGTTCACGCCAGTGGTTCGTTTTAAACGACGAAGAGCAACCATCATGTGTAGCGGTAGTGCGATTGCCATTTCTGAGCTTGGACTGATTACTGCTGCCCTTGGATTTGCGATCCAGAAGAGGTCAAAAAGTTATTTAGTGGTGAGGTACTCAGATAGGAACTTTAGCTTCCCTTTAAACTGAATAAATCTTGATGGATTTGATTAACTCTTGAGGTTTCTCTTCCTTGTTGTTGATAGTCTCGCAACATTGCCTATTGTTGCTACGATTAAATCCACAACTAGACTACACCATACATTGAAATCCTGTTGGCCTGGGTGTGACACCTTCCTACAGAGTTCTGATCAGGCCCTAGTTTTCGCATCACATCGTCAGGCCTTGTTACAGCAGCGCAAGAAAGCAAATGGGGTTTGTAATATGGATAGATGACGGAGCACTATCCAGCGTACTGTCTGGAGGACTTGTCCTGACTTGAACAGCCATGCGGGCTGTGAATCGTCACTCATCAAGGTGTTGTGTCATCCCGTCTAACCAATGACGGCTCTCACAGTGTCGTCCGATTGCATAGAGGCTTTCGACACTGAACCAGCTCAGTAGGGGCTTCTACCAAAATGGAAAGAATAGACAGCCAATTGCGCGTCGGCAAACTAAGCAGCGCAAATTCCTTGCTTCGCACCATGCGCTGCAAGCAAATAAGCGCTCAGCTGTAGCACCCTTTCGGTGCCTAGCTGCCATGCCACCAGAAGGAAGCACGAGGGCTGGGCTACTGTCAGGATTTTCAAGCTTAGAGAGGGGGTGTCGGAAAGCAGAGCTCGGGTTCAAACCACGCCATGCGTTGCAAATAAGCGCTCAGCTGTAGCCCCCTTTCGGTGCCTAGCTGCCATGCCACCAGAAGGAAGCACGAGGGCCGGGATACTGACTGTCTGCT